GCAAGGTGTTTTTAAAATATAAGGAAGTGGGAAGAAGATAATTGAGATCACTCATATTCTCAGGATTTGATGTTGATGCCTTAGAAAATTTGATGCAGAGAGAAGTCGGGTCCAAAGGGTCCTTTGGGCTTCCTGGTGGCTCAGATGGTAAAGAATCTGCCTGCAATGCAGGAGACCTGGGCTTGATCCCTGGGTTGGGAAGATCCCCTGGAGAAGGGAATGGCTACCCACTCCGGTATTCTTGCCTGAAGAATTCCATGGACAGTGGAGCCTGACAGGCTAGAGTCTGTGGGGTCACAAGAGCTGGACACAACGGAGTGACTAACACTTTCACTTTCTTCAGAGAGTCCTTTAACATCCTTCCTTTGGATGATGACGTTGATCTCACTTTCAAACATGGCCTTTGCTGGATATGGGATGCAGCTGCTCCCTTAACCAGCAAGGCCCCGACCACGAGTAACAAGATCACTGCTTCCTCTGCAGCCTGGACACAGGAATTCCATTTTTTCTTGTGACTCAGAGCCCCTGAACTCCCCGAGCCTCTGGAAAACTATTCATTGACTCATTCTCATTTAAGATAATGTATATACATGTATATACTTGTGTATGTATGGCTGAGTCACTCCACTGTTCACCTGAAACTTTGTTAATCAGCTATATCCCATTACAAAATAAAAAGTTCAAAAGGAAAAAAAAAAGAATATTTCTTGGACATCCTCTCTGCTTCATTCTTACCCCTGAGGAAGAAAAGTCACAGTGTGTAGATGTGGGCATTTGTCCCTGCCCCTCTGTCCATGTGGCTGCTGCCCTAATCCCTCCATCGGCCCTCTGCTCAGAGACTTGCATGCCTTTGGCAACACCCTCATGAGCTGCTTCTACAGCTCCGCTGAGAGCTGCTACATGTTATTTCTCCCTGACAGTTGTTCCCGATATAGGTCCCATGATACCCCTTCCCAGTAGCCTACCTTTTTCAACATCCTTTTTACTGGCTCAAGACTTTGAGCTCAAGACTGACTCAGATCAGATCAGATCAATCACTCAGTCGTGTCCGACACTTTGCGCCCCCATGGACTGCAGCACGCCAGGCCTCCCTGTCCGTCACAAACTCCCGGAGTTTACCCAAACTCATGTCCGTTGAGTCGGTGATGCCATCCAACCATCTCATCCTCCGTCGTCCCTTTCTCCTCCAGCCTTCAATCTTTCCCAGCATCAGGGTCTTTTCAAATGAGTCAGTTCTTTGCATCAGGTGGCCAAAGTATTGGAGTTTCAGCTTCAGCGTCAGTCCTTCCAATGAACACTCAGGACTGATCTCCTTTAGGATGGACTGGTTGAATCTCCTTGCAGTCCAAGGGACTCTCAAGAGTCTTCTCCAACACCACAGTTCAAAAGCATCAATTCTTCGGTGCTCAGCTTTCTTTATAGTCCAACTCTCACATCCATACGTGACTAATGGAAAAACCATAGCTTTGACTAGATGGATGTTTGTTGGCAAAGAAATGTCTCTGCTTATTAATATGCTGTCTAGGTTGGTCATAAATTTTCTTCTAATGAGTAAGCGTCTTTTAATTTCATGGCTGCAATCACCATCTGCAGTGATTTTGGAGCCCCCCCAAAATAAAGTCAGCCACTGTTTTCACTGTTTCTCTATTTGCCATGAAGTGATAGGACCAGATGCCATGATCTTAGTTTTCTGAATGTTGAGCTTTAAGCCAACTTTTTCACTCTCCTCTTTCACTTTCATCAAGAGGTTCTTTGGTTCTTCTTCACTTTCTGCCATAAGGAAGACTGGCTCAAGACATTTTTAATGGCCCTGCCATTATCTTAAACGTCATAGCAGATGTCAGAAAGTGATCACAATAGAGGAAGGAAAAATAACACACAAGGAGGAGGGTTTGAAGGACTGTGAGGTTCTCAAGAGGTGGAAATGGCAGAAGGAGGATGTTTCAGCCTGAGCAGTGGAGAGGGACTCTGGGGACAGGCTGAGGGAGCCCTGAGCAGAGGTTCAAGACTGCCAGCCTCACCTGCACGCAAAGATCACACAGCTGCTCGTCCCACCTGTAGATAGGATTGTACCTGAGACTGGTCCCCAAGAAGGTTAACCCTTCCATGGTGGGGGAGTGGCTGCAAGCAGCTTCTGACACCAGAGGTGACAGCTTCTACCCACCTTTAGGGGTCCTTCCTTCCTCCCTCATCCCTTTCTTCCTTGCTTCCCTTCCTCCTTCCTTCCTTTTTCTCTCCTTTCTTTCCTTCCTTCATCGCCAGAAGGGGCCCTCGAATCCCACAAATATAATATGACTATTGTTCTTGGGGAAAACGGTAAAGTTATTAACTAGTAAAGGACTATGTATGGATGCGCTGAACTGTATCACCAAAGTTCTGGTGATGTGTGTGTAGGGGGGGACTGGGCCTAGAAAGAAGGGGAGAGAAAAGCCTGGAAGCTTGTAGCATAGATGACAACACTGTACCTTAACTGTCGCTTGTTCTTGAGGAAAAGCGTGATTGCTGAAACAGGAAATATTGCACCAGAACTTCTGTGATTATTTTTTTAAAAAAAGCTTTTTTTTCAGGAAGACGAAAATTCAATATACATACAAAACCATACCCTTGCTAACAGATAATTGCACAACTTTGCTTTGAGCTACAAGACTGATTCTGGAAAAATACAAATATTATACAAGCTGCTCTATCAGACAGCATAAATTAATTATAAATGAATAGTTGATATGTGTGAGTTGATATGGTCAATACACTGTGTCCATTTGACTCCTGCCCAGGCTGGGGCTCTGCATGTATGTGGTGACAGCTGGCAATCCCACGTGGAGAGTGCTCCTGGGGGCGGGGAAGGCAGGATGAGTGGACAGAAGAGGCTGAGGGGGCTGCTCTGAGCACCAAAGCACAACATTTGCTACACTGTTTAAAAATTTAAAAGAATTCATAGGCTTCTTGAAACTCATCCATAGACCCCATGTTAAGAAAAACAAAAGCTAGAGAGAAGTCTTTCTTCCATGGAAAACAGCATCATAAATCATTCACATCAACAAATCCTTAATAGAAAAAAAAATGAAAACGATGTTTGGTAATTTTGGTTTTAATTAAAAAATTAAACTTGGTTATGTTGAAAAGTTAATTTTGTCCAAATGCTATCATGTCCTAGGAGAAGTGGTGAAGAAAGCAGGAGTTTAAAGATCCATCAGAAAGGTTCTCAGGACTGCCCTGGTGGTTCAGTGTTAAGAATCCTCCTTCTAATGCAGGGGACTCAAGTTTGATCCCTCATCAGGAAGCTAAGATCCCACATGCCATGGCCTACTCGACTTTGTAGAGCCCGCTGTCTCTAGAGCCCATGTGCCACAACTAAGACCCAATGCAGCCAAATGAATGAATATTAAAAAAGAAAGAAATGACATTTAAAAAAAAGAGAAAGGTTCTCATTCTACCAGGACAAGAGACTGGATCCCCAATCCTGTGTTGTGTGACACTGCCAGCTGCAATCAGAATTTTTTTTTTTTACCAAAGTAAATCAGCAAAGAGTTATGGGGAAAAAAAGTAAACAAACCCAGGTTATCTGATTCCAAAGCCTACTTTTATTTTTTTTTTTTCAGTTTACCGCAAGTACCAAATTAGGCAGATCTTTTAGTTGCTTAATAACTATAATTAAATTGTTGAGCTATAATCAAGGGGTATAATTTAAAAACAAAATCATTGCATTCACAGTCTCAGAACTGTGCTGAAGGGAAGGCTTAGGAAGAAAAAAAAAACATATTCTGGTCATGGAAAAGGGACACAGAGACAGGCAGTGAGTAGGACAGAGCCGTCTGTGATGAAAGGGAGAAAGCTGTAGCTACATGTCCAAGTGTGCAGACCTGGCAACCCCTGATGGCTTCCTGGCAGAGGCCATGATAGGACCTTCAAGGCCAAGGAGGGTTTGTTGGCTGGAAAAGAAGTGGCTAAGTGTGTCCTTTCTCTTTGCCAAGCCTGAGGCTTCCTGTCTGCCACATAAAGGGGTGAGAACGGATTCCTCTGAGGGCCATTCCAGCTCTAAACTCTAAGACTGGTCAACAGAAGAGTGGATAAAGAAGATGCGGTACATATATACAGTGGAATATTACTCAGCCATGAAAATGGGCCAAATAATGCTACTTGCAGCAACATCGTTGGACCTAGAGATCATCATATTGAGTGAAGTAAGTCAGAGAAAGATAAATATCATATGGTATCACTTACATGTGGAATCAAAAAAGTGGTACAAAAGAATTTTTATTTACAAAACAGAAATAGTCACAAGTACAGAAAACAGACTTATGGTTGGGGTAAACTTAAGTCGGGGGAAGGATAAACTGGGAGATTGGGATTGACATATACACACTACTATACATAAAATAGATAACTAATAAGGGCCTACGTGTAGCACAGGCAACTTTACTCAGTACTCTGTTATGACCTATATGGGAAAAGAAGCAAAAAAAAGTGGATATATGTATAACCGATTCACTTTGGTGTGCACCTGAAACTAACACAGCATTGTAAATCAACTATGTGTGTGTTAGTTGTTCAGTTGTGTCTCTGCGACCCTATGGACTGTAGCTCACCAGGCTGCTCTGTCCATGGAATTCACCAGGCAAGAATACTGGAGCGAGTAGCCATTCCCTTCTTCAGGGGATCTTCCCAACCCAAGGATCGAACTTGGGTCTCCTACGTGGCAAGCAGATTTTTTACTGTCTGAGCCACCAGGCAGGGAAGTCTATACTTCCATAAAAATTAAAAAATTCCAAGACTGCCCAGAGGAGCAGTGTAAGCAGAGGCCCTGAGACTGGATTGATCCACAGTGAACTGACGGCTCACCCAGGAGTCCTGCCAGCTCAGAGCAGTGGGTATGTCTCAGGAGATTAGAGGAAAGACTCCTGAAATGCTAAAGCAACTGAACATGGTGCTCTGGGCAGTGGGAGCCAGTGTAGGTCCTAGAGGAGGGGGGTAGTCATACGTTTAATTACTCCTCCTCTCACCACTCCTTCTGCCCATTCCTTTCTGCCTTGCTGAGCTCTGGCGCTGAGCTGGTCATGTTCATCTGCCCCTGGGGACCTTCAGCTCCACCAGGTTCCCGAGGTTTCCCCTCCTACTGTCTCTCCTATTGCCCTCCAGGTCCAGTTGCCTGCTGCAGCTAGTCTTTGGATGTCCTTAACTTTGTATTGCCAGGAAAACAAAGCAAAACATGATTCCCCGTTAGATTTGAACTTTAGAGAAATAACTATTACCTGGAAACAGTGGTTTGCCTCTTGATGGGCATCAAGTCAAAAGACAACCGAGTCAAAGATCAAGAGAAGGAAAGATTTATTACTACTTGCAGCAAGCAAGGAAAACATGGAAATCTTTCCCAAAGCAATGGTTCCCTGAACAGTAAGACTGGGGAAGTTTTAAGCTAAGGGTACATGTTCATTCATGAAGGAGTTTGGGCAGTAGGCAGAGTCCAAGCTTTAGTTTATTGAGGTCCTGAGGGTCAGAAAATGCCAACATCATCGTCCTTTAGGTTCCTGTTGATCTGGTGGTTGAGCGACCAAGTGGGGATTGAAATTCTTCAAAACAGCTCAAGACAGTCCTTTAGGCTAGTTTTCACCATTGAAACAGAACTGAGTCCTTACAAATGATTTGTTATTTTTGCTACTGTTACTTCTCTCACCTAATAAATTTGTCATTTTGTTCTCTTCCCCTGGAGGCTCAGATGGTAAAGAATCTGCCTGAAATGTGGGAGACCCAGGTTCAGTTCCTAGGTGGGGAAGATCTCTTGGAGAAGGGCCTGGCAACCCACTCCACTAGGTGGGAAATACCACTAGGTATTCTTGCCTAGAGAATTCCATGGACACAGGAGCCTGGTGGGCTACAGTCCATGGGGTCACAAAGAGTTGGACACGAACGAGTGGCTAACACTTTATTCTCTTACTGAGATGTGTTCAAGGACAGGCATCGTGTGTGTGCTTAGTCGCTCAGTTGGGTCTGACTCTTTGCAATCCCGTGGACTGTAGCCTGCCAGGGTCTGCTGTTCACGGGATTCTCCAAGCTAGAATACTGGAGTGGGTTGCCATTTCCTCCTCCAGGGGATCTTCCCCACCCAGGGATCGAACCCACGTCTCCTGCATTGCCAGGCAATTTCCTTACCACTGCACCACCTGGAAAGTTTCAATATTATAGCTATAAGTATTTATCCTTAAAAAATCATTTACTGTTTAGATGAAATTCAAATTTAACTAGACATCCTTTATTTTTATGTGCTAAATCTGGCAACCCTATGGGAATCCCCTTAAGTCCTGCCCACAGGCTGTATTGGACCTTCCATTAAACCTTTGTGGGGAAACCCTTTGATGGGTATCTTCCATTTCCTGCCATTGGCACAGGGGTAAAGAATCTGCCTTCAATGCAGGAGACACAGGAGAAGTGGATTCAATCTGTCGGTCAGGAAGATCCTCTGGAGGAGGAAACGGCAACCCATTCCAGTATTCTTGCCTAGAGAATCCCATGGACAGAGGAGCCTGGTGGGCTACTGTCCATGGGGTCACAAAGAGTCAGACACAATGGAGAGACTGAGCATGCAGCATACACGCATGCACACTGACCCATACACATATCTACTGGCTTTCCTGAGGTTCTGGGCGTTGCAGCAGCAGCAGGCCCTGCCCGTTACAGACAGCGAGGCTTTGCCCCCAGCCTAGGTCAGTCAGCACACACTACCTCCTGCTGCTGCTGCTGCTTCTGGCAGTACATGATGCCTGGAGGCCACGAGGGAGCCTCATGTCAGTCAAGATGCTAGGTTACCTGCATGGGGCCAGGCTCATTCAGCCTGTGCCTGAGAAGGACAGCTGAACAGACTCAGCGTCCCCCACAGGCCTGGATGTCTGGGAGGAGACCCTCTTGATGCCCAAAGCATCGTGGCTAGAGGCAGCTCCGGACAGTGGAGCATCCCTGAATCCCTAGACTTGAATCTCAGCTCTGCCCACCTCCTGGCTAGGTAGCCTTAACTGCTCTGAGTTTATCTCCCCATCAGTAACTTGGAGATATTCTCAGCCCCAGAGTCACTGGGAAGAATATGTATGTAAAAATTTTGGCACATTGAAGGTATTTAAAAAATAGGATTTATTTGTAAATGTTTCATAGTATATGCCTGTCTCCCCCTGTGAGACCATGAATCCTCGAGGCCAGAAATTGTATTTGCCCAGGGCCCCACAGAGGGCAGGGCTCAGAAACATCAAAGGAGTGGCAGATGTTGGGCTGCGTTCAACCCTGACAAAGATCGCAGAATCAGCAAGAGTGTTCTTTCCCTGAGTTAAGCTTCTGGGAGAGAGGGGGCCAAATCCAGACCTTTATCAGCCCTGAACCCTAAGGGTGAAGAATGAGAGAGTTAGCACCACCCTTTGGATGATCTTTTCCAGCTGTCAGGATCCCCTGCGCCTATCTTTTGTATGGATGTGATCAAGCTTGGCTGATGCATTAAGTGTAAGCTTTATCTATGTATTACATGACCCAGTGCTGGGAGACGGGGCTGGGACAGGGCATTAGGGGCAGAACACCTCCTGCCAGACAGCAGTCAGGCCCGCCCGCCACCCTCTGGCACTTTCTGCCCCTCGGAGAGCCAGGACTGCTCCTCCTGGGTGGCAACTTGGCAGAACCCTCCCGATCGTGGCTGGTTTCCCCTGGTTGCAGACCACTCACCAGTTCTAGGATGCCCCGGGCCAGAAGCCCAGGAGTTTTAAGCTGGGTCATAAAAAGGGTAGAGGTGAAGGAGCATCCATTCAGGGAGCCCAGAGGTACAGCTCAGACACCCCTCCTCCCAGGTGACTGTGGGGCTCCTGAAGCCTCTGCTTCTACTGCTGGGCCAGCTGACTCCTGGTTTGACGTCAGGCTGGGTGTGGGCTCCATCCCTGGCCACCCAGCATAGGCCCCTTCTGGGCTTGGCAAAATAAACACAGTCAGCAACACCTGGCCACACAAGGCCAGAACCCCCTGGCCTCAGACCTCCAGGGCTCCCCATGCCCACATCTCACTCAATTCAATGTCTGAAGCCAGGTCAGGCCAGGACACTGGCAAAGTGGTGTAAACCAGGGAGGATCAGAAACACCTTGAAGATCAGAGGGTCCATCCCTCTGCTACTTGGTCACCAGCCAGAGACACAACCCCATCCGTATCCCAGATAAGCTGCCCAGGTGACATCATCTAGAGGAATAACATAAACTAATGCAGCAGAGCAAGTTTCTGGGATGGATGAAAGGTGTTTTGCTTTTCTTTCTATTGATATTCTGCAGATGATGGCTTATTGGGAAGATTGGATCTATCCTCTATGAAATTTAAAAAGCTGAATTGTGCTGTGGATCAACTCAAATCTTGCGGCAAATGGAGAAAGTGTTTCGATAAAGTCAACTATTACAGGCATTGGAGAAAGTGAAGTTTGAGTGTGTCTTCAAGCTGGAGGGGCCACCCACCACTCAATCTTGATAGTGCCTCTAGAGTTGAGCAGCCTGACCATTCCCTTGATAAGAACAAGAGACTCCCCTTATTATTAAGACTGTACTAATCATATCCAATTTACAATGGCATCAATTTATTGTTAAAACAATTTATGTTATGGTAATATTAATATAACAAAGATAGATGCTGGGGGGAAAAAAGCCAGAAAAAAAAAGAATTCTAGATTCATACAGGCCTCCGAGGGAACCAAGGGTGTTTTGAGGACACTTCTGAGGCTGGCGTCCAGAGCAGCATGCTTTCACATCTGTTGTTAAGTGGACTTGAGCCATGACATAGAGATATTCTGAGTTCTCTTTGTTTGGTCGTTTTAGCAACAAGTTGTCTTTCTGTGGCCACACGTCAGGGCCCAGAGGACCTGTGCTCAGTATGATCCTTCAGGTGGCCATGGCTCTGAGGGCAGCTGTGTGTGGGTGTAGCCCTGCTGGAGGGCTGGAGGGGGTCCCACTGACCAGAGCTGAAACAGCCCCCACATCCAACCGTCTCCCTGGAGTGTGTCATCCTGGACTCATTCAGGTGTCTGGTGGGACTTTCGAGTGACATGTTTTGTGTCTCATAGGATGGCGAGGTCGCTCCCACAGCCTCCTAGGTTTGTTTTGGGAAGGCCGCTGGGGATCATGCAGTCTTTCTTTCCCCTGAAATCTGGGGGCTCTCACTCAGCAGTAGTTGCTCCTCCCTCCCATATTCTCTTGCCTTAGAGGGTGCTGGTTTTATTTGTTGACATGAAATAAAGACTGCCGTCAGAGAACTACAGTTCAAGGTCTGCAACCAGAACAGCCGTGTGCGAGCCCCCATATATCAGGGGAAGGAGAGTGTTTTTCTAGAAGGAAAAGGAAGGTGGGAGGGCTCTAGTAAGCAAGGAGTCCATGGCTTTTCATTGGCTGAGTCCTCACCAGGAAAGAAGAGCAGTCTTTCTTCTTCCTATTCGACTCTGCTATGGTTGCACGGCCAGAGAGCTCTCCCTTCTGGTCTCCGAACTCTATTAATTGAAATGCCTATTTATTAATTTTTTTACATATTCCATTGCCACCCCTTATCTACCCTGATCTGCCCCAGGGGCTGACAGATAACTGACTGAGCCACTCATGTGTCCCTGCTTCATGGTTTCTACTTGCTTTGGGATGGCACTCACAGAAGATAGCAAGGCAGGAGGAGAGAAAGGACTAGGTATTCACCCCCTTCTTTACACACACATCCACATACACCCTCTTTTGCAGGTGACACAGTTCCCTCCCCTGGTCCCTTCAGCCTAGAACTACTCATACTTCCTCTGATGTTAGTTCCACGCGCTTAAAAAAATTTTTTTTCATTAGAGTATGGTTGATTTGCAGTGTTGTTAGTTCAGGTGTACAACGAAGTGAATCAGTTATACATACACAAGTATCTATTCTTTTTCAGATTCTTTTCCCATTTAGGTTATTATAGAATATCGAGTAGAGTTCCCTGTGCTATCCAGGAGGTCCTGTTGCTTATCTGTTTTATATATAGTAGTTTGTATGGTTCTAGGTGCCTTGACATCCCTTTGGCTCCCTTGATTCCATCCACACCACT